ATCATGCTTCTCTGTCTGGCAATCCGATGGACGTGTCTGGGTTTGGTGGTTGCCAGGAGAACAGTAGTTGTCTGACTGCATTGTGCCAAGTGTAAAGTTTAGTGGAGGGGGGATTATGGTGTGGGGTTGTTTTTCAGGGGTTGGACTTGGCCCCTTTGTTCCAGTGAAGGGAACTCTTAAGGTGTCAGCATACCAAGACATTTTGGACAATTTCATGCTCCCAACTTTGGGAAGAGTTTGGGGATGGCCCCTTCCTGTTCCAACATGACTGCACATCGGTGTACAATGCAAGGTCCATAAAGACATGGATGAGCGAGTTTGGGGTGGAGGAACTTGACTGGCCTGCACAGAGTCCTGACCTCAACCCGATAGAACACCTTTGGGAGTGTAGACTGTGAGCCAGGCCTTCTCGTCCAACATCAGTGCCTGACTTCACAAATGAGCTTCTGGAAGAATGGTCAAACCTTCCCATAGACACACTCCTATACCTTGTGGACGGCCTTTCCAGAAGAGTTGAAGCTGTTATAGGTGTAAAGGGTGGGACACCTCAATACTGAACCCTACGGACTAAGACTGGGATGCCATTAAAGTTCATGTGCGTATAAAGGCAGGCCGACCAATACTTTTGGCAATATAGTGTATTTGTACATTGGGAAAGAATCATATGAGTTTCTTAAACATTGCTGCTTGTGAAATATGCATATCATCCGGTTCATAGGTACATTTGCAATGCGCTGTGTCATAGAATTTGCAGTGTGAACTGGCCTGGGAGCTACTACAAGCTAATAAACAGCAATCACCTGATAATGTTCACTGTCCTTGTTTGTTCACTGTCAGAGGTTGGATCACACTATTCTGTACCGATGTGGAGGAGTGAGAATGCAAACAAATAGTAACTTCAAATGTTACTGCTTGTGAGGACTAAAAAGTTGGACTTCAGGCAATCTGCTAAATACACAGGTGCAACATAAATGGGAGATGTTTTATCTGCTCATCCAGTCCAGAGATATATACAGCTCTGCTACTCCACACTGCCCTGTCTGATAGGAAAGGGACAACCAATTTATTTACATTTTTTTTTTTTTAATAAATTTTGTCTCTCCTAAATCCGTGACTGGAGAGCTCATCATTCTGTCACTGTCATTTAGGCCGAAATGTATTCTTCTACGTGTTTTGGTAAAAAAAAAAAATCCCAATAAGTGCATATTGATATAAGTATTGAACACATCACCATTTTCCTTAGTAAATATATTTCTAAAGGTGCTATTGACATGAAAATTTTACAACATGTCAGTAACAACCCATACAATCAATACATACAAAGAAACCAAAACAAATACGTTCAGAAATTAAGTTATGTGTAATAAAATGGAATGACAGGGAAAAGTATTAAACACGCTAATTGAAATTTATTTAATACTTTGTACACAATCCTTTGTTGGTAATGACAGCTACAAGACGCCTCCTGTATAGAAAAACTAGTCGCAAGCATTGCTTAGGTGTGATTTTGGCCCATTCTTCCACACAGTCTTCAAATCTTGAAGGCTCTGTGGGCCTCTTCTATGAACTCTGACCTTTAGTTCTTTCCGTAGATTTTTTTATTGGATTCAAGTCAGGTTGGCTGGGAAATTCTAGCAGCTTTATTATTTTTTTATGAATAATGTCTTGGTTCATTTTTCCATTCATCCTTCCTTTAATGACATGAAGTTTGCCAGTACCGTATGCTGAAAAACAGCCCCACACCATGATGTTCCCACCTCCATGCTTCACTGTTGGTATGGTGTTTTTGCAGTGCCATTTGACCTCCAAACATGGTGTGTATTCTGGCATCCAAAGAGTTCAATTTTGGTCTCATCTGACCAGACTATATTCTCCCAGTATTTCACAGGCTTGTCTAAATTTTGTGCAGCAAACTTTAAACGAGCTTCAACATGCTTTTTCTTCAGCATTGGAGTCTTCTGTGGTGAGCGTGCATACAGGTCATGGAGGTTGAGTGCATTACGTATTGTTTTCTTTGAAACAATTTTACCTACTAATTCCAGGTTTTTCTGAAGCGCTCCACAAGTGGTCCTTGGCTCTTGGACAACTCTTCTGATTATTCTTTTCACTCTTCTGTCAGAAATCATGTGAGGAGCACCTGGTCGTTGCCTGTTTATGGTGAAATGATATTCTTTCCACTTCCAGATTATGGCCCAAACAGTACTCACTGGAACATTCAGCAGTTTAGAAATCCTTCTGTAACCAATTCCATCAGTATGTTTTGCAACAATAAGGTTGCAAAAGTCTTGAGAGAACTCTTTGCTTTTACCCATCATGGGTGTTTCTTGTGTGACATCTTGGTAATGAGACACCTTTTTATAGGCCATCAGTTGAGACTGAACCAGCTTATATTAATTTGCACTGACAAGGGGCAAGATTGCTTTCTAATTACTGATAGTTTTCAGATGGTGTCTTGGCTTTCCACGTCTTTTTGCACCTCCCTTTCTTCATGTGTTCAATACTTTTTTTACCCGCAGTACATACTGGAATTTTTTTTTTTTTTTTTTATACTGATAATGGCAGCGATCAGGGACTAATAGTGGGATTGTGATAGTGCGGCAGGCAATCTGACACTAACACTTTATGGAAACTAACTAAATGACACTGACCTCTCCAGTGACACTAATACAGTGTTCAAAGCTAATAATTTACAGTGTCACTGGAATAATGACACTGGCTGGGAAGGGGTTAATTGTGTGCCTAACAAGTGTTCATGTGTGGAATATGTGCTGCTTTTCCCTGCTTTGAAGGGAAAAAAAAATAAAGCGATCATTCCCCCTGTTCAAAGCCCTGTGTTGTTTGTAAAAACAGTGCTCTGGCGGCTGATTCAACACAGCTGATCAGCAGGTCCTGGCCATTGATCATTGGCTGGGATCTGCTGAAAAACTACCTCTGTGTCAAATCACAGAAAAGTAGGTGGGCAGGGGCACGCATCTGAAACCCAGAAACGGGCAGCGTCGCACAGATATGTTGCTGCACCTGTAGGAGCCGACATGCTGAAGTACTGTGGCAGATCGGCAAGTAGTTAAAACAGGCTACCTGCACGCAGCTTCATGGGATGTATACTGACAGGAAGATTCAATGAACTACCATGGAGCTTCACAGTACTGTGGTAGTTCATTGAGAACTACAAGCCGCTAAAGAAAAAGTTAATTCATTCACAGAACAGTGTAAATGAATGACGTGGCTGTGTGGGCGGAGCCCTGCTCTTTTTAAAAAGTGACAGCTGGTATGGGGAACTTCTACCCATGCTTCTGTCACAGGGAGGGGTAGATTGGACAGCAGCTGCAGCATTGGGAACATGTTACATGTTCCACCCTAAAAACGGACGGAACATGTAACATGTTCCCAAAGGTGAACTTATCCTATAAAGTATTACTAAACCCACAACAGTAAAATCAGTCTGTATATGCAGTAAAGCATGCTGGTTATACTCACTGTGGAACCTAAAGGGTTAATCCTCTACACTGTGTAACAATGCCATTTGATCCTGACTTCTCTGCTCCTCCTCTTGTTTAAATGTCCTCGTCTTATCTTCTCATAAGACAGACTGAACCTGTAGCCATTCTGCACATGCTCAGTGCAGTGTGTATTGCTAGAGAGTTTTTTGTTTCTTGTGCATGTGATCAGCACAGGGCCAATCAGCACTGTGAAGGCAGAGGTCATGGGTGTTGCATCCTCCTAGAGCAGAAAGAAAACTCCTCCTACAAGCTGTAACCAGTGCTCTGCTGAACACTGATAGAAGTCACAAGACTGCTATATACTGCTGAAGAGAAAAGGTATTTAGCAGTTTACAAAACAAATAAAAGATTTCCCAGCAACACTTACCAGCCAGCTTGCAAAACAACCAATGTGGCCCTGTCTAACATTTGTGTTAAAAACAGAGGGTTTTGTTTGCACACATTTTCAAATACATGCTTAAGCCACAGTCCCACGTCAAGGGTCCTCTATATACTGAGGATCTAACTAAAATTTCTAAAGCCTCCATAGTAGGAGCACATGAATCAATGGATGGGTTAAGGGCAGGTGTGCCTGGAGGAGCCCATCCCTCCTTAAAGGTACAGGGACACACGTGACGCCCAGCTATACCAAAATGACAGCAAAGACATCCAGTGCGTCCAAGTTAGCCAACTACAAAAAAAATGGATACCATCCCAATCTATAACCAGCTTTAGCAGTAAGATGAACATCGAAGGGCAATACACATTGCAAAACAAACAAAAGATTTCCCAGCAACACTTATCAGCCAGCCTGCAAAACAACCAGTGTGGCCCTGTCTAACAGTATGTGTTAAAAACGGAGGGTTTTGTTTGCACACATTTGCAAATACATGTGTAAGCCAAAGTCCCATGTCAAGGGTCCTCTATATCCTTGTGTGGAGTCACTCTGCACATCCTCAGTTTGGTGTGTATTGCTAGAGTTCCCCCCCCCCCCAGCCAGAACACACTGATCAGCGCTCACAGCCATTGGCTACAAGTGCTGATCGAATGCTGGTTTTCCAGGATGCCCGTTCGGCAAAAGCTGGTCATGAGACTGGCTTCTGTAGAGCAGCTGTACACACAGCCCGAATGTAGGAAGGATCCTGCTGAGCCGATTTCCAGCCCATCTGTACAAGGCTTTAGAATTGCAATAGACACAGAGAAGCCATCCCATTTGCATTGTCTGTACTGTTATGTCCCCACCAGACAACTGCCTTTAAAGTGTTACTAAACCCCGGACCCTGCATTCACTATATCTGGTCTCCCAGGACCCTGCATTCACTATATCTGGTCTCCCCGGACCCTGCATTCACTATATCTGGTCTCCTATGACCCTGCATTCATTATATCTGGTCTCCCCAGAATCTGCATTCACTATATCTGGTCTCCTATGACCCTGCATTCACTATATCTGGTCTCCCCAGACCCTGCATTCACTCTCTCTGGTCTCCTATGACCCTGCATCCACTATATCTAGTCTCTCCGGACCCTGCATTCACTATATCTGGTCTCCTATGACCCTGCATTCACTATATCTGGTCTCCTATGACCCTGCATTCACTATATCTAGTCTCTCCGGACCCTGCATTCACTATATCTAGTCTCTCCGGACCCTGCATTCACTATATCTGGTCTCCCAGGACCCTGCAATCACTCTCTCTGGTCTCCTATGACCCTGCATTCACTATATCTAGTCTCTCCGGACCCTGCATTCACTATATCTGGTCTCCCAGGACCCTGCATTCACTATATCTGGTCTCCCCGGACCCTGCATTCACTATATCTGGTCTCCCCGGACCCTGCATTCACTATATCTGGTATCCTATGACCCTGCATTCACTATATCTGGTCTCCTATGACCCTGCATTCACTATATCTGGTCTCCCCGGACCCTGCATTCACTATATCTGGTCTCCTATGACCCTGCATTCACTATATCTGGTCTCCTATGACCCTGCATTCACTATATCTGGTCCCCGGACCCTGCATTCACTATATCTGGTCTCCCCGGACCCTGCATTCACTATATCTGGTCTCCTATGACCCTGCATTCACTATATCTGGTCTCCCCGGACCCTGCATTCACTATATCTGGTCTCCCCGGACCCTGCATTCACTATATCCTCTCTCCCACAGTACACACAACATGGAAATGAAGTTGTTTTAGTAAATATAAACTGCTAAATACCTTTTCTCATCAGCAGTTAGAGCAGTCTTGACTTCTATCAGTGTCCAGAAGAGCACTTGTTAAAGCTTATAGGAGGAGTTTTCATTCTGCTTTAGGAAAATGCAGAACCCCTGACCTCTGTCTGGAAAGTGCTGATTGGCCATGTGCTGATCACATGCAGTCTCCCAAGGAACAAAAAAAACTTCTCTAGCAATACACACCAAACTGAGCATGTAAAGAGTGACTTCACACAGTATGTCTTATCAGAAGATAAGAGGGGGGCACTGGAAGAAGGGGAGGATCAGAGAAGTCAGGATCAAACAGCTTTTTTACACAGTGCAGAGGATTAACCCCTTAGGTTCCACAGTGAGTATGACAAGCAAGCTTTACTGCATATACAGACTGATTGTACTGTTGTGGGTTTGGTAACACTTTAAATGCATCCTTCATTGTGTGACAGTACTGCTTTGACTAGTCCTGTGTCTCTCCTCCCCCGTGTACAGGGATTTTGGCTCCTGTAGTTCCTGCAGCCATTCCTTTCCATTATACATATTCCCTTTAAGACTACATTTCCCAGAGTCCTTTTGTGCTTTCACCGATTGGTCACTGCCACTGATTTTCTGATTGGCTCTGACCCCTACTGCCAAGAGGGAGGGGGAGGAGGCAGACACACAGAGTCTGCAGCTGGAGTCCAGGTTTAATTTAGCAAATGACTGTGTTTAGTGAAAATCACTGGCTTGTGGGGTCACTCCTGCGTGGAATTGTTCATTTTATATATTTTTTTTGATTTGTATATCAATTTTACCTGGAGGCCTTGAAAATTCAGATTCTGCACAGAAGGTCATAACTACAGTATATGTGATGGATCCTTGTGGTAAAACCATTATTGGGTTCTGTTGCCTCTGTAATATCCATCGCAAAGGCAATTTCCCCCAGTGACAGGTCAGGCAGGGCCAGGGGGGGCTGACCATTTGGAAACTCGGGCACTGCTGAGGGCTCGGGGTCAGTAGGGGGCCCCTTGAGATGCCCCTGGTACCTTTTTCATAGGCTTTTTTGAGTTTGGGCAAGGACACAGGGGCCCCATGATCCCCTATTGCCCGGGGGCCCCATGAGTTGTCAGTCTGCCCCTGGGCAGGGCTAGGTCGAGGCAGAACCAGTGATGAGGGGGGTGCAGCTGGGGTGGGAGCCCCTCTTGTCTGCATCTCATTGTACAGACTGTGCTGTGCTGTGAAATTGACCGCTTAGTCCTGCAGATTACACCGGGAGATCAGTGCTCTCCCTGTGTAACCAGCAGCAGTTTGCTCCACTGTCAGCATTACAGCTGCCCACTCCATATCAGAAGCTCTGTCTGTCAATAAGTCACACTTTTCATCCCTGCCTTGGGGTGTCAAAGGACCTTGTACAGAATATTCATTGTTTTCATAACCATTTTAGAGAAGGGCCCAAACCTATATACACATTAGTTTTATCCGACACTATTGGTCAGATGCTGTTGGATATATAGAAAAAAAATTCCCTGCGCTTAGCCCAACCAAACCATATACGGAGTGAACTGCTGCAACTAATAAATCTGAATAGCCAATTTTTAGCAATCTCAATGAATAGTGCCCCTGTCCCTTTAAATAAATAAACGACAAACAATCAATATTATGTGTCCCTATAATAAAGTGCCCACAGCCAATATATACCTTCAATATATACAAGGATTTGTATCAATACATAATATAAGAATGAAAAATAAATAAAGACCCAAAATCAAGTTGTGGAAAGTGCTCTGTGCTGTAAAACTTCATACAAAGTGCTCAAATGGTGCTCCTCAAAAAAACAAACAAGCCTCTTATCATGGCCCTCGATCCCCTCATGTTTTGCATTGTATTGGTATTGTTCTGTCCCCCTTTGTAATGTACAGCGCTGAGCGAACTATTGGCGCTTTATAAATACTGTATAATAATAATAATAATAATGGCCCAAGACCGGAAATCTCTCCGAGAAACCACCGAAGGAATGGCTGCATACGCCGAAAGGTTTTTAGTCCCACCGGGATTCCACTCTCATTTCCAGTGCCGCTCATCATGATAGTGCGAAAGGACTAAGCGAGGAGAAGCTTCATAGTGCGGTAAGATTTAAAACTAGCTATTTATTAAATAAATTGCACTTACAATTCAGATGAATAAAACAGGCAATGTACAGCGATATACAAGCGTCCGGCCGCAATCTCAGTGCCGGTACGTGATGACGTCACACAAAGACTCTGCCAGACACGTCCCCAAAAATGGGCGCCTTGGGATGGGAGATGTTGTTGGATACCCACATAAACCATCGAGTATCCAGATAGTGTTGACCCTTTGATGTTTCCAGACTCCATTACTAGTCCGGGGTGGTCTGTCAGAGTTACATCACTGTTGGCACATGTACCTGGCAATAAGAAGTATGTTTACATTAAGAATTGCAGTTTATGGGGGGGGGGGGTTCCCACGGGGTTTATATAATGTGGCCATTTAGCATCCAATAACACTTGATCAAACGCTCCAGTGGTGGCCTTTTAAAGATACTGATCATCAGTATGAGAAAGCTTTTTACGTTTTTTTTCAATTCAGCGCCGTGAATATTTTATTTGGTTCTCTTATAACATGAAACATTCATTAGAAGCATTATATTATGTAGCTGGCCAGGCAAGGCTTTGTTTCAGCTTCATACCGCCATCAGTCACTGGTGGGCCTGATTCTTAGTGGCATCATCGCTCTCACTGTGCCTTTCAGGAAAAGGATCTGACATTGCAATACTGATGAATTAATGGCGTGTTCCTTTGTGGTAACATTATGTCATCAGGCACAAAGGGGCCATGCTCAGTACTGCAGGGTGTCACCTGGACAGGAAGTGAGAACTAATCTTTCCAAGTGTGACACAGCAATAAAAATCTAACAAAGATTCCAACCCTTTCCTACTCTATCCAAAACCTAAGGGAAGGTACAGTAGTCATTTCAGTGATATGAACATTGACCTGTACAAGAAATCAGCTTTACTGTAACTCTGCTAGTTTGTGTGTTGGCCTACTCATTGAAAACAATGCTGTCCCTGTGTGGCTGACATCTCAATGGCTGTAAAGCAGTTAGGCAGATTAATTGTAGTAGTCCATTTTCTCTTCCTCTAGTGTCTAATGTTCAACTCTGCACAAATGTCTGCATTTAAAGGCTAAATTCACTTTTCAAAATAAATCTGTTTGAACACTGCAAGGCCTGTGAATGAACTATGAGAGCGCTCACCAGCGCCCAGGGGCAGACTGACCATTTGGAAACACGGGCACTGCCCGAGGGCTGGGGTCAGTAGGGGCCCCATGAGATTCCCCTGGTACCTTTTTCATAGGCTTTGTTGAGTTTGGGCAAGGACACAGGGGCCCCATGATCCCTTATTGCCCGTGGGCCCCATGAGTTGTCAGTCCGCCCCTGCCAGGGCCCATGCAGTTCATTCAGAACTATAAGCAGTCAGCCACGGTCCCTGATGGTACTAGAAGTTCATTCGTTCACAGGAAACTGTGAATGAATGTGACGTGTGGGTAAAGCCCTGCAACAACACCTCTTTTAAAATGGTGACAGTGGGTGCAGGGAGAAGATCTCTCCCCCACTGTCACAATGATTGGAGGTTCAGGAGAACTAGCTTCTGGAGCTAACACACGTTACATGTTCCACCCATATACTGGTGGAACATGTAACAAGTTCCAAAAGGTGAACTTATCCTTTAATAACATAATAAAAATCTATTTTCATGCTGGGCATTACAAACTCTGGACTTCTGGACTCTGCACTCCTTACTGTTGAACTCTGTGGACCAGGGGTAGGCAACCCTAAAGAGGTGGAGATCTACCTGAACAACATGGGAGAGGTAAAAAATATTAGCTAGCACATTCTGCTGGTGGAACAAATATAGAAGAACAAAGATTTAATGTGGATGGCTAAATTCTAGGATAAAAACCATATAAAAGGAGAAAAAAACACTAGCCTTTAAAAAATATAAGACAGAAGGGTCACCATCTGTATTTCAGAGCTACAAGGCATACAATAAGAAATGCAAGAGCCTGATCGATGCAGCTAAAATGGGTTACAAAAAAACATATTGCTGTAGTATATAAAAGTAAGAAAAAATATCTTACAAAAATATCAATAGTGAAAAAGTAAGGACATTATCCTGTAGGACCTATAAAAGATGTAAGGGGAAGTTGGTTACAAGTGACGGGGGAAGGCAGATGTAAATACGTTCTTTTCTTCAATTTGCACAAAAGAATGATATGGCTTTAAAAATCACAACAATAATTTTAATAACAGCGAACTTAGGGTATATTTTTGGCTGGCTGAAATACAGGTTCAAAAAAGACTAGTAAACTTAATGCCAGCAATATCCAGGGCCAGGGGGCTTACACTCATGAGTTCTCAAGGAGCTTAGACAAATTTAGTTAGGCCATTGTTACTAATTAACTGGCTGGAATGGTACTAACAGGTTGGTGAAAAGCAAATGTGGTAGCAATATTCAAAAACAAATGTGAGATTTATACTAGGAAACTACAGACCTGTCAGCCTTACATCAATAGTATGTAAGGTATGGAAAGGATTGGTAAGGAATTGTGGACGTTTCATAAAACATTATGTACTGCTTTAAAATTTACA